CTGTCCAGGAAGGTCATTGCCTCTTTGCTGTTGAGGTCGGTCGCTGCCTGCAGCACGGGATCGAGGCGATTGTCTTGATCTATATTCTGCCCCTCGAGGGCAGAAGTCTCTTTTTTGCTGTCTGACAGCGCATTGTCATCGCATGGCCGAAACCGACCACCCTGAATGGGAGGCACAAAGTTCCGCCAACGGCCCTCAATCCGACCGATCTGGTACCGATCTGTCAATTTCTGCGTCTCTTCCGAATGAAACCTACCCAAGTCAGTTTTATGCACTATCACGGGCGCAATCACTGCCTACACGGTGAATTCATCCGTGGCATCCTTACCGACCAGGTGCTGGATGGGTTTGTGACCGCCGGGATGGTACGGGATCCACGAGTCGACACGTAGCACCTTCTGATGGATGATGAGAATATGCTGTCCGGCAGCGATCAAGCCCTCGATCTGCCGGGACGAGAGGACCCGATGCTTTTCTGGAAATGCGTCCTTGGCATTCTGCATCTTGGTGGTTTGGTGAGTGCAGATGCAATTGTGGTACTGCGAGAAGGTCGTTCCGTCGGGAGGCTGGGGTGGCCCCATGTCGGGAGTCGGATGACGCGTGGTTCTGACACGCCAGAAATTAAGCAGGTTTGATTGGAGTGGCATGTGCTATTTTTAGAAGGATCTAGCCGTTAATGATTAAGCACATGATTAAATCTAGATTCTGGTATTGAAGTCTAGATTTCATTCCCTGATTTTGGTAATCTTGTTCAACAATTACCTAACAGCATAAATTGAATATTTGGGTGAATATGTATTGTCACTACTCTTTCCTCCAGGAGACTTATAAAAACCCTTTGATCTTTTGAAGATCCTCTTCTCTTCTACACATCTCTCATACCCTCCCACAGAATCAACATGCTTGGAATAGAGATAAAGTATGTCGGGGCTCAATTAAAGCAACGGATCCAGTCCCTCCAGATACATCACTATGCACTAGCATTGGACAGAATTGTAGCCAATGTCCTACCTTTCCTATTTTCCATATATACCAATGCCTAGAGCCATACCGGCGGCCATGACCATAACCAGGTCGTCCGCAGCTGCTACAGGTCTGGGTCGACGAGTAGGGACACATTGGCACCAAAAGCACCAGATTGGAGCTTCTCATCAATCATCCTTTCGATGAAATATGTGGATTAATTCCGGGCCGTTAGCATTGCGGCGCAAATGTAACGAAAGAAAATCTTGATTGAGAAAACCGAGCTGGGAATTCGTGTCTCGCCGCCGAAATCGAACATTATAAAGAAAACGGGTACAACGTACATAGTGAGTGACAAATAGATCTTACCACCATGTTTTCTTTTGTCCGGCAGGTTGAGAACAGAATTATGATCGGCTCGGCCCTAATGGGAGAGATGGAATGGACTGACGTGGCGGTAGAAAGGGGGCTGAGAATACTTTTCGAGGGGCCATTGGAGGACTCCAGGAATGGTTGAAAGCCTGCGAACACAGGGCGAACGAGATTTTAATTGGCGTGGAAACAATTCGAAGATGATGAGATATGCCCTGCATACATTCCTCCTAGATGCAACAATCCACACCCAGAAGAGAGACGTCATCGTATGGGGTTGCGCCATACAAGATACTTTCACGAGGCAAACGGGAAGAAAACAAAGGCCTTACGGCGCTTAGGGACCGAAAACGCGTGGTTCATGTCGGGAACTCTGTTCGAGGTCAGCCCGGCAGACATAAGGGCGCTATTGCGGTACTGGGTATTGTACTGGCTTTCTGATAATAACTTACGACTTTGTGTGTATATAGAGCGTGAGGACCTGGTACGTCCCAGACGACGGAGGCGATTGATGCAATCACAAAGAAGTTCGGTCAAATACTTCTGGTAAGGCATTACATCCGGCGCCGCATGGATACAAACTGGTCTGGTCAAATATTGATTCAACTATATCCAAACATCCATTAAAACATTGGGTTCCGGTGCTACTGGAGCATATCAACCATACTGGTTCGATTGCCGAGAGAGCGATAGCCCAGATTCAAAGAAGCGATGGGAGTTCCAAGAATATATCAAAAAAAGCTTCAACGCTATCGTGTTTGCTGCACGTTCCCCATTACTGGCTCCCATCCATGCCATAATCCTTTCAACCGATTCCATACATTACAATAACTCACAAACCCAGAACAAGCCACCTTAGAAAGGACACAAATGACAGAATAATCAACAAACTCAAACTGCATCATCCAGCACAACAGCATATCCAACAGCCGTACAATTAACATAACAACAACAATCGTTGGCCAGAATAACAGAATTAGCCCCTTCATTACCACTACTGACCTACCAACGATATCGTCAGGTATAGGGATGGAGTTTCTCGAAATCAATCCTGTGGTGATTGAAGTCGGACTGAGCATGGATTACCACGCGAACGGAAGCTCGAACATCGGCTAATAGCACTAATTGCAACATATTACAGCTATCTCCCCGGATCTAGATCATTAGATAGGATCATGCAAATATGCAAGTTACAGGACCATATAATGCCTGCAGCAGCAAATATTAGACCATGGCAAATTACAAGACCATGTTGCAATACACAAGCACCATACAACACATTTGCTCTGTCCTTGCTCTAGACTTGTGCCGGATCTTTATATCCAGATGGGCCAGTGGAAATCTAGCTTCTAATTTGAAACAACATCTTAAATCTTCAAACCCGGGTGGGAGGGAGTCTTTTGCAGACAAAAACATATGTCCGCCTACACTATGCCGACATAATCTCGTCTGAACTACCCATACGGCTTTGGGGGCATTTTACGCTTACTATGGGTTATACTATGCTAACCTCAATACTTGAAGCCTGGGTGGCGCCATGTTGCTTATAGAAGGAAGAGAAGACTACTAGGGATCGCGCGCATACATTTGAAACTTGAGAGAGCCCGCTACCAATGCTTCTAATCCCAACCTGATACGGCAACAAGCACCCGGGGAAAAGAGAGCGCAGCCAATCTTTAAGTCGGCTCGAAACCCCGACGGGACTTTCATAAAGATGCGAGCACATAGATATCATCCAAAAGTATGCGCAGGCCGATCCAGTCCCCTAAAAAAAACACCCCAGCTGCTGTAAACAGTGCCAGCAAAGATGCGGTGTCTACAGTGGACATTCTCTTATCCTTATATGCAGATACGAACAAACACACTTGAACTCCAGGCACTGTTGAATTTATTGCCCGATGTTTAGCAACCCAGCCAACTGGCTCAAAATTCTCAATCACGGATCGGCCAGACAGCTCAATAACCACTAGCAGACATAATTCAAGCACGGCATTTTGAATGTTTTATGTCCCCGGCAAAACCAATGTCTTCGACGGCTTCACCAAACCACTGGACCCGAAGCATTCCGCACCTTCAAAAGCCTCCTCGATGTGACGTGACTTCGTGCCCGATCCCAAGCCCACTATTATCCACACAAATATAATGCTACGTCGACGGTATCATCTCGACATCCTACGAAATACCCAGATATTTAACCTGCGTACTTCGTTCCGTCTGTCCTTCCAACGACAACCCTAGCTATCTATAAGCAAATGCGACCTCGGTTGGTTTGGTCGTGGCGGACACGGCGCTACAAAACCCCCCTGCGACCTCATTTTAATACCATTCTGGTCATACACTGCCATGAACAGCAACAACAACACTAGGATCCTCGTGTTCAAAAGTCTCATGTCTATATATATGAGGTACAGCCAATTCACATTCTTCAGATTGTCTCACTCGCAGCCTTGCCCAATGGCAGGATGATGTGTACAGCTGAAGTGGGGTCCTTAGATTTTTTTTTTTTTTTTTTTCAAGATACATGCCCTACGCCCTAGAAGAACAGACTCCTGGTAGGGGCAAAGCAGGGACAGAAGCGGAATCAAGGAGTGCCGCAATCAGTCATATCAGGAGACAACCTCGTACCCGATATTGTTGTCGTTGATTAGTAGCAACCATGCCATAAAGGCAATGATGGAAATAAAGCCAGGAACTCTCGTCGAGGATGTGCTAAGCTGCATATCAGACGACAAGGTAAGACAATTTGTCAAAAGTATTGAAACGGGCTTATTATTCCCCATCAGAGAATCTGGTGGAAACCGCGCCCAATCCACGATTGGAAGCCGATGATTCCGTTGAGAATCTTGCTTCGAGAGACATTGGATGAATTCCACGCAACGTACAAATGTGCTTGCGAGATGAATGTCCCAGCCGCGATGGAAGTCGCTGTGTCAGTTCAAGACTAAGATATGGAAACCCATCCGACAGATATCGCCTTTGGCGCTTTTTAACAGGAAGAGGAGGGGGGTTGAGGGAGACCGGAAAGGGATGCGTGACAAACTAAAGTGGATGTCCGACCGATGGCGTTCGCCCGCCCCGGGGACGAGCTAGCCAAGGAAGATAGTCCTTGGGAAAACAGAATGTCCTCTAACAAGACCGTGGTGGCTTGGGTTTGGTGGTGGGGTTCATAGTATTACTGGCTGTGGTCATTTGGATATATCTTTTTGAATGTGGAATTGAAGAGTAGAATATCAGAATTTGGATAATGATAGCCACGCTGGATGACTTTTTTTTTTTGGGGGGGG